ATATATATATATATATAATTTTCATATTAAAAAAACTCAAATTTCAGCATTATCTGATTTTAGAATCATCCCCTACATTAATTATTTATTATACTAATTGTTTAGTTTATAAATATAGGAAACTTACATTACGAGAAGCCATTAACTTTATTTTTGACATGTGGAACGATGTTAATGATATTACTATAAAAAATTGCTGGAAAGCCACTAAGATTATGCCAAAAGCAAGCAAATCAAGCAAATATAAAGAGGAAGAAGATAGTCAAGAAGAAAGTAGACCAGAAAATGAACTTGAATATGTAATCTCTAAGGTTGACGATGTTGATATATTAGTTGAAGACCTTTTTGATTGAGAATAATCTAGGAGTTCAAGAGTTGATAAATAATATTGAAAAATATACTCACCTGATAGATCAACTAGTCGTAACTGAGGATGCACTAACAGATAAAGGAATTATCGAAATGGTAAATTATAAGTTTTGCGATGATGATGATGAAACTGATGACAATGATGATGATAAACCACCACCTCCTCCTCCAATTACTATTACTGAGGCCACAGAAGCATTAAAAAAAGTTATAAAATTTCAAGAAAGCCTCGAAGTCAGAAAAGGGTTTGATGAAAAAGAATTAAAGATGCTGTGAAAACAATTTAAAGAATAGCGTTATAAAAGAGAAAAAAATAAGAAGCAACTTTCAACCTTATCTTTTTTGGGTCTAAATGATTGAAACGGTTACAACCTAGGCGTTGTAAATTACTAGTGTCGTTAGAATTGGGGTTATATTTTTCAGAATTAACTTCTTTTTTTTTTTTTTGCTCTTGAAAGCCGCTTTGAATTCTTTTTTTTTTTTCTTTACCTTAAATCGTATGATGACCTTATAGTTATAAATAATATTTTGATCATAATTCTGCTAAATAAAATGATAAATTTTTTTTCAAACATATGTATTAATCATCTAATATAAAGTTTTTCTATGCATCCTTACCACTTATGGTGTAGTCAGAAATAAACGAGTTGCGCTAGCTTCATTAAATTAATTTCTATATAAAAAAAAATTTATTAATAGTATCCAAAAATTATGATTATAGGCTTTAGCTCATTCATACCTTTTGATAGTCTACTCCTAAAATTTTGGATATTTATAGTCTTTATTAATCTGTCATTACAGCTATAAGGCTATACAAACTTAAATCAGTTCTCATGATAAAATTTTGAAAGTAATCTGGCAACCCAATTTTTATTGTCAAAAAATTTTATACGAACAAAACATATAAAATTTTTTAAAAAACTCATCCAGATGTTTAAAGTTTGATCTTGCCGGTTTATTAAGTTTGTATAGCCTAAATAGTAACAGTAATGATCAGCTTGTTTAATTGATCTATAGCAAAAATCAGCAGATCTGATACAATAAAATCAACTTTTTCAGTACAGGCTAGTAGATTAAAAAACTATCTATTAGAGCGTCAAGCTATTAATTCTTAATACAAGAACCTTTCGGTTTGATTAATATACCTATTCGAACATCTAGAGATTCAGGTTGGCTTACTGTAAATCAGCATTTGGAGGCAAAGCTTGTACTATTCCTGGTAAAGTTTTTTTTTAATTTTTAACTGTTAATTTCTCGCTACTAGACAAACTAACAAAAAAAAAAAGCTAGACTAATTTAAAAAAGTCTGGCTTAAGGAATACTGAATGCTACATGTTAAAGCTTCTTAGTTTGTAATTCTAAACT